AACTGAAATAATTGCAGGGCTATCTGTTTAGGCCATGTCTGATGTCAATGAGATATGTTACAGTAAATCAAATTGCAAATAATTTGTTTCAGTGCCTTTGATGTGACTTTCATGAATAATGATCTTGTAATTACATTTATGTCGATACTTTTCTTATATGGTAATCAATGCAAATTGTTAGCTCTCCAGTTTTGCCTAGAACATGCGAGATAAATGCTCATGATTTTTTTTGTTTACCTGGTTATGTGCGGTTTAAATCATGGCTTCCTATCTGTAATGATAACCGAGTTCTCATTAAGCTGCTTAATACAAAGCTTTGGCATTTGCTAGATTATTGCTTGCTTTTCCATCATTGATCTTCTTTTCATGGGACACTTGCTGTCCTTGTCTTATGTTTCATGTCTTCCTTATTTTTGTCTGTGTTGTGTGCATTTTTCTTAATAGGTTGTTTAATAGTTATTCATGTGTGTGCTTCAGTGTGTGCAATGGCATGCCAATTGCAATTATGTTGCAACTGGTTCTAGTGACAAAACTGTCAGATTATGGGATGTACAAAGTGGGGAATGTGTACGCATTTTTATTGGTCATAGGAGCACAGTTTTGTCATTGGCAATGTCTCCTGATGGGCGATTTATGGCTTCTGGTGATGAAGACGGTACCATCATGATGTGGGACCTCTCAAGTGGTCGTTGTATTTCACCATTGATGGGGCACAGCTCGTGTGTCTGGACACTTGCTTTCAGGTGATCTATGCATTCTTTTGTTTTTTTCAGAGTGGAAAAACAAATTAACCTGGTTAGAATTCTTGAGAGTCAGGAATGTACATTGATAGGCCTGGTGTTTTTGAAATGCTACAAACATATACTTTCATCTGATGATTGCCTTGGAGGCATTTATAGTAATTAGTCTTCTATGATGCAGTCGTGAAGGATCACTGCTTGCTTCTGGTGCAGCTGATTGTACAGTGAAATTATGGGATGTCACTACCAGCATGAAGGGACAAAAGATAGAGGAGAGGTATGTTCAGTTCCATCTTGTCCTATCTGGGTAATTTGCTTTCAAAAAATTGACCGAAACCTTATAAAAAATTCTGTCCAGCAAACCTAGTAGCATTAATCGGCTGAGACTATTGAAAGCTCTCCCTACCAAATCCACACCTGTATATACATTGCAGGTAATATCTTTTCTGTATGTTGTCTTGCTTTATTCTGTATACTGATGGTCCTGTACCTCTTCGGTAGTTTTCAAGGAGGAATCTTTTGTTTGCTGCTGGAGCACTTTCAAAGTGCTAATGGAAATGCTGTTTGAGTTGCATATGACATGGATATAGGTAAGATCTTAAGCTTAATGCAGTTAATTAAATTTTACATATGCATTGTCTTTTCTTCGTGAGTTAGGTGAGCTTTCCTTTCTGCAGTCTTTGTTTATTTTTTTTCCTTTTCCTGCCTTGTGTTTTAGTCATCAAAACAATGATAGGGTACTATCGTTATATGGCTTTTTAAGTCTTCAATATTAGTTAACTCTCACTTTCTACAAAAATTTTGTTCTTGGTGGTATGGGTCAGAATCCGCATCGCTAGAAGTGGTGACTATTTCTGATGGGAGAAAGAAACTGGAGCAGCCCGCTATCCAGCAGTGGATGTCGAGCTTCAAGTTGTTGGCTGTTCTTGAAAAATGTGGTACTGATCGATGCAAACAGCATATGTAGGTGAGGTGATGGGAGCGCTGCCATTGTTTGTTTGCAACATTCAGACAGCTGAATCTAATATGGACAGGAATTTTTGTTGAAGCCTTGAAATTGTTAACAGATCAGGGTTCTTAAAATTTGATTTGTGTCCCCTTCAATTGTTCATGAAGCTGAGCCTTCACATATATGAATGCTAATTTAGACCTTTTCAATCTCCTAGACTTGTGATATGAATGTATGTGAATTAGTTCTAAGGGTCTGAAGGTATTTACTTGATTTTTAAATTTAAAATTATTCATTTTATGCATTTCCTTGGTATGTGTCGAATTGTTTTTAACAAATTTAATTGTAGGCATTCTTACAAGTTTTTTCATTTCAATTTGTGAAAGTAATTTCATAATGTACTAATCTCTTATTATAAAGTAAAAAATATATTGTATAATGAAAATCATCAAGATCAGTAGTATAAATATTATCATTTTTTAAAACTATCATAGATTTATTTTTATTTAGTATTTATATGATGCAAGAGATTCAAATTTAACATTATATTTTTTTATTATAAGATTTGGTTAATGTTTAATAAATTATGTTTGAAATCATCTATAAAAAATATATTTTTTATCAACTGATTCGAATTGTTATTAATATTTTTAATTTCTTTATTATTATCTTTGTAGGTAACACATCCTCTAATTCGATCTTTCGCTAAAATCTCAAATTATTATCTCTGATCATATGCGTGGTTAGAATTGTCTTTCTTACCTGACTTTAAATTATTTATGATTCACTTAAGAATCTAAATTAATTTTGGATAATTATATTTTTTTTAATAGAGCATGTGTAATTACACTTGGTGACCAAATTTTCTTTAAAAGTTACATTTAGCCTTTATATAATCGTGGCGTTCCCCACCAGCCACCGAAACGCCTTCCCTGTCACGATCCTAGAGAGATCATCACACATGCATCCAAACCCTAGATCTAGAAACCAACCAAAGAAGGGCGCAGATCTCTTTAATCATGTCGGTGGAGAGGACTCCGGGGACGCGGGGAAGAGAGGCATGTCGGTGGGGATGGATTGGACGACTCACGCCTTGCATTGAGGAGCGAGAGGTGACGGTTGGAGGCAGCAAGCAGATTCGAAGGTAGAAGAGAGCACAAAAGAGGGACACGGGCTTCATTCTCTCTATCTCTCCCACTCAGCTTGCGGGGGAGGAGGGAGAGTGGCAACTATGATGCAGAGGACATGGTTGAGGCGTCCGTACTTAAAAAGGAAGAGGCGTTTGCCACAAACGCACCGTCGTTTCCTGTGCTTTCCACGTTTTGTACGTGCCTATGAGATCCGGACCGCCGAATCAGTCACCTATGACAATAGTCAGGCTGACGTCAGAAGGAGGAAACCACGTCACCCCGCCCAGCGGAGCTCTTTGGGTCTGCAATGACTCAACCGGGAAGTTGTCAGGGTTGATCGGAATCTCGGGGGCCTCGAGTCCCTGCCACGCGAGCCCACTCACACCTCATCGAGGTGGCATCACTAACGATACTCAGTAGCAGTAGAGCCGACTCGTCTCCCTGCCTCATGCCTCCGGACCCATAGTGGGCCCACGGGTGCATACGCCTTATTCTCCGTCTTGCCCCTGCATATCCCAACGGCTATTACCGCACAAACCAGATAGATTTCCAAGTCAGTAGCACAGGTAAAGATTTGATTTGTACTACGATCCATTTGAAATGCTGAAAAAAAAATTAATTTAAATAATAAAATACAGCAAAAAAGGGCAAACAACAACAGCTATGGTATGTGACATTTAGAGCTATTAACCAGAATGAATTCTTCATTATCAGAAAAGAAGCTACATGTGCAAGAAGAGCCAACATTGGAAGTGGTGTCGACTTATATAACTTGCTTCATCCATCTGAATTCTCCGCAGTGCATTTTCCAAAGTTATTCCTAACAAAATATAATAAAAGATGGATGGAACATCTCTCCATGCCAAAGATCAGAGAGATCTTAGAGACAATTAATTGTTTCCAACCCCAACAATTCTCTGTTCCTCACAATAGATTCATCTCGTAGCAAAGTAGAATATTGAAAAGTATGCATCAACAAGTTTGTGGATCATGTATTAACTAATGAAACAATGACATGCAATTTAGCCCAGCTTTACTGCATTCATGGCAAGGGAATGGAGATTTGTAACATCTTCATCTGATTGCCAGTAGAATCTTTGCATAGTTTTCTTGGACACCAATGCCTGGTATTATGAGATAAAGGAATGTTAACATGGGGCCCTTCGAGTCTTTCAAATCGTCTGATAAAGCCATATGACATTATTACACCAGACAAAATGAAACGAAATGATCTGTTGAGTGATAATTTTTCAATACAAAGGCCATATTACTCCTACAAATCAACCAGGAAATTATTCAGTGATTCTATTGTTCTTGCAAAGACCACAGAAAGTAAAAGTTCAAGACAAATCTAGAAACCAGAACCTGATCTCTAGATTATTAAGAATGGCAACCATTTGCATGCTTGAATGATAATTTGTGGACCACATATGGTTCTACTATACCAGTATAATGCTGGAAAAAAGAAAAGGCACTAGCAAGAGTCTTCGTCAAAGCCACCACAATTGAAGATTGACTTCTTAGAACATCTTTCACCTTTCGAATTCGCAGGAAGCTAATCAATGCTACAATTCTAAAAACAACACCTATTACAATCTACACAGCCCTATCATCATATACAGTGTCAATGTTTCAAAATGGATATGTTTCATAAGGAACATGAATCTGCAATCATACATTCTAAATATTGAACGAAACAAATGAAAAAAAAATTTCCAATTCAGAGGTATTTTGTATTTATTTCTCTCATGCTGCAGATATACAACCTTAATTTAGATCAAAATATCTTAATCATGCAAAAGAATTCCCTCATATGTATATGATGCTAATGAGCCTTGGGAGCTGATAAAGCAGTAATCATGCTTATCATCGCATATAATATACATGGATACTGTAACATTAGTTTATTAATTAGCTTTTTTTTGTTGATGACCGGAAGCTAAGAGGAACACAAAAGCAACTGAGTCTAGAATTCTTACTCTTATTTCAGTATCTATGCAGAGCATAAAGCTTGAGAAACAGAGCTAGAAACCCATTGCATATATCATGCTGCAAGCCTGCAACTAACATGTAAATGTGTTTAAGAAACAAGGACAAATGATTACCTCAGGGCTATCTCAGGACATCTGGGTTGGGTATTGGAGTACATTGCATGGTTGATGCCGAAGATTATTAGATCTGTAAGTAATAAATCAACAAAGAATTCCAATCATAGGTGTCCATGCTAGACACGTCTGCTAGAGTACACTATATCTAAGCCGGAAGACATTCCTGGTGCCATTATGAGCTGATAGATCAAACACTTTTCTCTAAGACATTTGACAATACTGTACCGAATTCGATCACTGCAACAATAAGGTTTGGAGGAACTGATGTTGGTTATCCAAATTTCATTCTTATGCAAGTGCCATGTCTGCCATTTTGTGGAAAGATGAATTCCTTGCCACTCGTTCCCCAGTGGTTTTTGCTGTTTGATATGAAGGACATGAAAAACTTCTCGAGCTTAGGATCAGCAGAAAATCCCTTGGATTTCATTTCTTTATAGAATTCCAGAGCTTTTGGGATCCATCCATGCTTTACCAAACCTTCTACAACAGCCATATAATGTGAAGCATCAGGAATGACATCATACCTCTTCATCTCACTCCACATTTTTAGTGAGCTTTCAGAATCACCAAATCTGAAGAACTTATTTATTATCAGGAAAAAAGTGTAGCTGTTAGGACCACAACTAGCATCCTTCATTCTTTTAAGAAGCTTCACGGTTCCTTCAATGTCTTCCACCTTAACAAAAGCATGGTATGTCTCGATAGTTGGATGAATTCCCTTCACCATCATGTCATCCATTGCCATTCGTGCTTCCTCCAGCTTCTGTGCTTCGCATAATGGGTATATCATAGAATTGTATGTTTGTACATTTGGTTGCAAGCCTGCTTCTATTATTTTATCAAAAATATTGTTTGCATCCCTCAAGCAACTTTCTCTGGTTAGTACATAAATAAGAGAATTGTAGACCACAAGGTTAGGAATCCAACCCCTCTTCTTCATTTCATCATAAAGTCTTAGAGAATCAAATAGGTTGCCAACTTTTGAGAAACAACAGATCATATGAGAATAAGAAATGCCATCTGGGGTGATGCAGAAATTTGACATTTCTCTCCACAGTCTCTTTGCTTCAACCACATCACAGATGACATTACACCATCCATCTAGCACTATGTTGAAGCTTTCAGCTGTAAGGGGGAAAAACTTCCGATTTAGAAGGAGGAACTCCTCAGCCTCTTCAACATACTTGTTCTTGCAAAGCGCACAAAGAAGGGCATAAAATGCTGTTAAATCTGCATTTACTTTGAACCTTTCCATGACCTGAAAAGTTTTCATTGCTTTCCTAGCTTCATCTGCAGCTACATACCTGAAGAATTTTAAAGATCTCATGTAACTCAAGAAGTCTCCTTAGTACATGCTCATACTATGTTAAACAATTGTCTCTCATCTTATCATATATCAAAGTGATACCTAGTTATTCACGAATAAAAATATTTTTTTTTCTATCTTTTCTAATATTTCACACATCTGTCTCAATATTCTCATCTCAGCAACACAACTTTTTTTTATATATTTTTTCTTAATTGCCCAATACTCAGATCCATAAAGCATTGTTGATCTCATAACTGTCATATAAAATTTTTCATTTTAATCATCTTGTTTTTATTCTATGAATAATATATTCATCAATCTCTCCATCTTATTGAATAATTGATCCAAGATACCTAAAACTTTTACTTAAATAAACTTTTTAACTATATTTTCTTAATCATTTCTAGAATCACTAAAATCACGTTTCATATATTCAGTTTTAGTCCTACTAAATCTAAAACCTTTAGTTTCTAAGGCTTGCCTCTACAGCTCAAGTTTATAATTAACTTCAACTAGGTTCTCATCAACGAAGACAATATCATCAGTAAATAACATACATCAGGGATGTCTTTTATGTAAGTGACTAGTAAGTTCGTCCATTATCAATATGAAAAGGTAGGGACTTAATATAAATCCTTGGTGTAATCATATAGTAATAGGAAACTCACTAGACATACTCCATGTAGTTCTAACACTAGTAACTACATTATGATACATATCTTTAATAACATCAATATAATTAGTGGATTCACATTTCTTTTCTAAAACCCACCATACAAAATCTCTAGGAATCCTATCATAGGCTATCTGTAAATCAATAAAAACCATATGCAAATCTTTCTTTTTCTCCCTATACTTTTTCATTAATTGTCTTAATAAATAGGTAGCTTCTATGGTTGATATTATAATCATAAAACCAAATTTATTTTCAGATATATTAGTTTCAAGTCTTATCCTACTTTCGATAACTTTTTCCCAAAGTTTTATAGTATGACTCATGATTTTAATTTCTCTATAATTTGAATAATTTTATATGTTAATCTTATTTTTATAAATTGACACTAAAAAAAACCTTTTCTCTATTCATTAAGCATCTTTCTGAATCTCATGATTTTGTTAAAGAAAGCTAGTTAACAAAGCTACTCCCTTATCCCCTAAACTTTCTCAAACCTCAATAGGGATACCATTAGGCTCCACACTCTTAGTTATTTTCATCTTCTTTAATGTATTTTTTACTTCATTAGCTCTAATTTTATGAATAAACCTATGATTATTAGATCTACCACTATTATTTACCGTTAAATCTAAGTCATGTGTGAAACATTCATTAAATAATTTATAAAAATAATTTCTTCATCTTTCCTTAATCTTGTCATCATTAACAAGCATTCTTTGATTTTCGTCTTTAATGCATATAACATTACCTAAATCATTAACAAGAAATTGGAGAGACCAATCTTGAAAAAAAGGAAGACAAGAAAGGGACAGTTTGTGGGGCTGCATGATAGAGCAATAAAGTGTTACTGCTTTTATCCCGAATCATGGGGCACTTTAAAACATATTCTCCTATTTCTTAGATGTTAAGAAAACGTTCACTCTCTAGACCTCTAGGAAGAAGAAGTGACGACTAACCTGCAAGATAACAACCACTATTTAGCCAGCCATAACTTTACTTGCATGTTTCATCTATCATACTCTTTCTGATTAAGTAGTTAACCAGATATACATCATGTTTCATCATGATCATACTTTGCAAAAGGTCCGGAGGTTATTTCCCTATTTTGAAGATAATAGGTAGGAAAAAATGGTCATATACTTGATAGTGGGGATGATCCACTGATTCGAAACGAAGCAGCAGCCTAAACTAAAAAGTAGGCATGACTAAAAGGGAAAAGATAAAGCACATATAATTAGGACAGGAAATCAAAATTATCATGGATACAAATCCAACATTCAGGCTGAAAATAAATATTAAAAGTTGTCATTCAATTGTTGATCTCGAATAGTAGGATGCCAAAAGAATATCAAAGTTAGCACCTTTCCATCATGATCACCATCGCCCGCTGCGTGAGAACCGACGTCTTGTACATCTTACGCACCAGGTACCAGGACAAATCAAATCGCCGTTGCTTGCCCATCGCCCAAATCATGAGATGCCACGCCCACCGACAATCCGCGACGCACTCCTCCGCCCATCGGAAAGCGAGGAAGGCCAACTCGCAGTCCCCCCTCAGCTCCCAGAGGGCCTTGCAGACCAAACCCAGGTTGAGCGCGACACCCGAGGAGGCCCGCAGGAAGGCCAGGGCCTCTTTACGAGATGAGGACAAGGATTTGGCCTGGGTGAGGAGCTGGAGAAAGCCATGGAGGTCGGACTCATCGAAGGGAGCAGAGGGCTCGACAGAATCAGTGTCGAAGTCGCTGGTGCCAGGGTCGGTGGCTGCGGAAGGGGAGGAGAGCGATGAGATTTGTGGGTGAAGAATAGGATAAGTGGAGATTGAGAAGACAGTGGGAGAAGAAAATAGGATCGGAAGAGAAGGAGAGGGAAGAGGGAGAGGACGGCGGGGATTGAGGAGGAAGGTAGAGAGGAGAGGGCGGAGAAGGAAGGCAGAGAGGAGGGGTGTTGGGCGGCTTATGCTCACCGCTAGCGCCATAGAAGACTCGGTAATTGACCGAGGGATCACGAGTTGTTATGTGAAGACCTGTTTTGGGCCTAATTTGGGTAGAAAGATTTAGGCCCAATTGTCGCCCGGATTGCGTTATTTTTCACATTAAACTGCAAGCAGACAAGCCAAAATGATTAAAAAAATATTATCAGATATTTTATCTTTATAAACTTTTAATATTGAGTTTTTATCAAAGAGCACCTGATTTTTTTTTTATATGGGAGAATCTTTTTCTTTTATCAATTTAATGAAAATACCCCTCGCCTTACCCGTTGTCGTCTCCACTGCCGCGCTCGACTGTCATCACCTCTACCACTGCTGTCGCCCCCTCCTCCTCCCCCCCTTTCACGCTGCCGCCCCTTTCTCGTCATGATGGTAATAGAGGGTAGAGTGGAGGTGAGCGACGAGGGCGTCAACATCAACATCAACGAGGATCTCGACGCTGCTGCCACTAGGACGAGAGAGGAAGAAGACGATGCGAAGACCCAAGAGGAAGCGAAGCCCTCCGTGGTGTGGGTAGGCACGAGTGCGCTTCTCCTCCTTGAGCCGGGACTGCAACAGCGCGGTACGCGACGATCGCCTCCTTAGCGATGGCGAAGGTGCTGAGTAAACAAACGTCACGAATGAGGTCCCAAATCTTTGTCGCCCCTCACCCACTTTGTTGTGGGCTAACGCCCTCGTCGCCCGCCTTCACTCTACCCGCAACTGCAACTGCGATGAGGAAGAACGACGATTTAGGAAATTTTCATCCAACTAGCCGACGAAAGCTCCCCACGTAAAAACCAATTAAGGGGTGTCATTTGATAAAAACTTAAATATCTTTTCTAGATAAAAGTGTCGAATAATTATTAATTACAAATAGAACAAGTTTGTGTCAGACTTAACTTTACATCGACTATTGCAGATAGAATAACCCTTTATGATCACAAATATACAGCACGACTTAAACAACAAGTTAAAATCAGACAAAAAAATAGCAAGACATGGATCTCAACTTGTTGCGTTTGCAACAAGTAACATTAAAGGTATTTCATGGGAGGATACTCTATTTGTTAAAACCTTTTTCTTTTCTCAACTTTTGCTTCCATAATAATATCCTAATTTTGGGAAATGCTCCAGATAAAGAAAAAGCTAAGGAATCATATGGATCAACATTTGAGCCTGCATCAAGCATGAACATCCCTTGTACTACCTTGTTCAACAGCTAAAACACTGTTATTTCTTGCCAATTAATGGTGTTTGCATGACAAATACCCCAAGTCTACAGTTTAGTTGCGGCAGTTCAGCACGTGCACAAACAAGTTCACCCATGAGTTCATTAGATCCACCACCAGCTCTAATGTCATCCTTGACCGAATCATTCTACATTCACTGACGAGGGAAATATGTTTCTTCTACATGGATATGACTGACGCAAGTTTTTACAAGCAAATCATCTGTCTAAGGCTGTTATTCTGATCAGGAGAATGACATGAAGTCTTCAGGGCGTGCAATGTAAATCTCCTCAAACTCATTATCATCTGAAAAGAAGAATCCAATTCTTGAGAACTTATTTATTGTCCCAAGTAAAAACAAAAATGAGACTACGATTTCCTCACCAGGAAATTGTGTTCAATCATACTTAATCCTACAGCCAAGATAAGAATAACATAGTACAGAAAAAGAACCATTTGTTTCACCAATATAAATCACAGGCTAAAACCTAGATCTCAAACAAACAATCCATATCAAAACCATAAATTACCAGGAAAACAATTCTTAAAATCAAATAAAAAGTAACCTTATTATTAAAATCAATTTCCCAAATGCAGTCTTCGAGGCAGTATATATGGATGTGTCCGATGCGCATATGGCATAAAGTTATATGATTATGGGTGGCTACGTTTTATATGTAAAAATATATGCCACCACACTTAGTCCACATAAGCACAAAAAATTCATGTTTCCTCCAATTAATTTCACTTGCCTTGTTACTACTATTTTGGTACTGATAAATACAGGATCCATCACAATGTAAAATGGACACAAATATTCTAACTTATCACTAAAATTAGTTATTTGACGTGTACAATAATGTGATCTCATAAACCATTGATTGAAATCTAACATATATTAACCCATTACCAATTAAAGCTAATTCAATTTCTCAATTTTTACTCAGTTATGTACTTTGTTAGAATATCTCCATGGATTGTACATGCACTCACATATAAACCTACATTTCGCATCTGTTGTAAGCAACACCTTGAAAACCCATTAGAGTGTAGCTGCTTCTTCAAACAGCCACTGAAATGGCAAATTATTTGTGCACCAATTGAACTACATTGCACATTTCTATCATATTTTTGTGGGCCTTACTCAGAGTAAAAAAAATTAAGACATCACTGTTAAATCTTTATTAAAATCATACTACATCTGGCTATTTTGTGTCCTTCGCATCAATCAGAGCAGAAAAAGGCACAACACACACTAGCATGATACAGTGACTACTCATGGACCAACTAGAAATAGTGGATGCCTCAACAAGATCTAACTTGTGCATATGAACAGGTAGTCCACCATAAAGTTGATTTCACAGTATGGAGAAAATGCACAGAATCAATAATTCAGTACTTGAGAAAATAACTTTTTTGTTATACTAGGCAAATGTATTCTTGGTTAGAACCTTCCATGACTCATGAACATGTTATAAATAGCCATCAAAATTGCATTGGTGTATATGAGCACATACATGAGTTCAAGATTTATTAAAGAAGCCAGAGAAGTGCAATACCTTTTCTAAGAGTCAAAGCCACCACAGCATCATTTTCAACCTGCACATGAACAATTAAGAATTAAAATAGGTTTAGGTGGTCCGTTTAATCATCATCCTAAAATTATGAAATAGCACTTAGAATTGTCAGTTCTGGATGGTAGTTGAATGGTATTGTTACCCTCTGTTCTGCTAATGTCATTGAATCTACTAATACAACATCAGTTGCCACCAAGGTTAAACGTTGATTATTGCTAGGTAGATCTATCAAGGCTTGTAATTTCTGCTTTATATCCAAAGTTGTGTCTGTTGGATCACACTGCACAAAGTAGGTTGTCTTGTTCCGCTTCACTCGAATGTACATTTCCTGTTTCCAATAAAAGACAAATTGAAATCCATAAAAATCACAAGGAACATATACCCGCAAAATTATTGAACAAGTATCAGAGTGCTCTTTTGACAATCATATAAGTCATCCTCTTTATAGTTGGAAACTTTAGGAAGGCACGATTTTGCTTCTCATTTTACAAATTGTTTATTCACGAGCAGTTTTCTTGTCAAAACAAAACAACCCAATCCAAAAGCTACTGCAACAGGATCCAGGAATCCTTAACCACATTGCCATGATCAATAAAATCTCTGGAGTATATCATAAGTGTGCAAGAAGGGCCTATAAGCTATTAAGGTTGGTTGTTAGGTTGACATGTTACCCTATCACATTGGATGGCTACTCATATAAGGACAAATTTTGACTTGCACATGAGTCCAATCACTGTGGACCGATAGAACAAATAATTAATTGTTGCTTTATTCTGATTCCTTGATTTCAAAGCCTTAAATTAAAGTCTTGTTTAAGTCACAATTATCAGGTTATGTAGATGCAATCCAGCTTCAAGAACATATTGTATTTGCAGAAGACCTAAATACAAGGTTTCCTATGTCACATTAGAAAAAGAATTATTGCTGTATAAGGTGGACACTATTACATAATATTAGCTAAACATGCAATTTCTCCTTTTCTATTACTACAATGTTCTTGAAAGATGCCTGCAAAGTTTAAAAGATCATATTACTACAACGTTCTTGTAGAAGTTGAGGCAAGCTCGTCTTTGAATATTGTTTAAACATTACTAATTTACTATCATGATGCTCTCATAAAACTTTTTAAAAGTCATAATTTTCAAGTATTAGCTCTTCTTCTTTTTTTTTTTGGCAAAGTGTAAGTCATATGTCCCAACTATTTGAGATCCATTGTATAGATCTTATTCTGACATTGAGCTCTGCACAAAGCAACATCCTTAGTAAAATCAGGAGCATTTAATTCTTTATTTAAGGTTTCTAATAAAGTTTTCTAAGATCTCCCTCTACCTATTCTAACACTATTGATACTAATTATTTCATCTAGTCTAACGACAGCATCTATAAGTTTTCTGTAAAGATTTTCATACACTGTTCAATGATTCTATCATATTTTATCCTCTATTGGAGCTACATCTAATTGCTAACAAATAAAACCATATTTTGTCTTAGTAACTCCACATTTCTACTTCAACAATCTCATCTTGGCAACACAAATCTTTTGGTACATGTTCTGCTAAGTGTCTGAGACACATATAGTTTGAAGGAGCATACAAATCATCAACACTTAGTAAACATCACCTAATCGTCTTTGATTACCCTTATACGGCCTGCAAACAGTAAGCACTCAGACAAATCAATGGTGGATCCACATTCCATCTAATGCTTAGAAAATCAATATAGACGCCCTTTGGATCAGCTAAGCTAAGATGCGATCCTATTCAAATTATTTTCAAGAGCTGCAATTAGGAAATCCGACCGGGGTATCAATTGGGTTGTCGACTGGCTGCGGACAAACTATCAAGATTCATCAGAACTCTTAGGGAACATCGGGAGTCGAAACGGAATGCGCATCAGAAGGACATCAGTTGCGCCCAAGTAGATCTCTATGGAAGAAACGATACGGCTCACGGATGAAAACCGATTCGATTACGGTAATGATAATTGAACGGATCTAAAAAGTTCTGACCCAGACCACCTAGTAAAAGAAGAATGAACTTACCTACAGATTAAAACCCTAAATAATCACAGTACGTGAAAGCAAAACGAAGAAGAAGAAGCAAAGCGAAGCAGAACCTTGATGGGTGGTAAAGAAACCCCGTCTATTTGCAGGAAATTGGATGAGGCGGTGGTGGTGTGAGGAAGAGGACGTCGCTGGCCGAGACCTAGGTTTGTGGCCGGAGAGTGGAGTGAGAAGGTCGCGAGAGGCAGCCGATGCGAATGGGAATAGGGAACTTTGTCTCGGTTGGGGCCTCCGTGCGCCGTCGTTGAATTAACAGGAAAGATTTGTATAGTGAGAGATATAGTTCTGATTTATAAGTTTCCTAAACGTTACACAACATCCGTTGTAGTCTAGTTGGTTAGGATACTCGGCTCTCACCCGAGAGACCCGGGTTCAAGTCCCGGCAACGGAATTTTTATTTTATTTTTCATTTATATTTATTTATTGTATATTCAATAATTTTATTTTTTTATTTTAGTTTTATATTTGTATATATATTTATTTTCTTTGTATTTGTAATTATATTTGTATTTTTTTATTCGTTGTAGTCTAGTTGGTTAGGATACTCGCCTCGAACCCACTTCTATCTAATTTTGAATATTTTTTATTTTTTTGTATTTTTTATTTTCCTTTATTTTTTTTTTCATCTTTGTTATTTTTATTTTAATATTTGTGTCTTTTTTAACATCTACTTGAAAATACTGTAAATAAGTTAAATAAAATTAAAATAGAAAACATTTAATTATATGATATTATGGTTGAAATAGATATTTATAATAGTTTAAGAGTATCTTCTGAATTGTTTCAATGCAAATGGGTATTTATATGCATGCGTCTTCGTATGCATATATTTCGAGTCCTCAATGAGTCTTTCACACAAAACAAGAGCCAGTAATATTAATGGGAAAGCAAAAGCTTCACTGCTTTATCCCTCTCCAATATACATACATACATATGATCTCCTCCACGTTTCGACATTCTCCAATCTTTAGCAGTTTCAGAAGAGCGATCAATACAAAGCACCGACGCACGCATTACATTCTTCTCACGTTACTTTCGGCAGAGGACACGTTCCTCCCATGCTACAGTGTGAGCTTTGGCCTCTTGCTGAGCCTTTTCCTGAGGCCTTTCCTCGTGGAATACCAGCTTCCCACCATTGGCAACAGATGAAACTTTTCTTTGGGGCGCTGTGCGTCACTGTCAGCTCTGCGGATAAGAACAACGAAGAAATGGTGCAAAAGTATGGAACGAAACATGAAACTGAAGAGAAGTGACAGTGATCAATGGAATGAAGTTACCTATGTTTTGATGCTTCGAGAGTTGTCATAAGCTTCTGCATTACATCCACCTGAGCTCGAAGACAGGCGGCATAGTCTAGGGTTTCGTCCAACAAGGAGAACGCATCCATGGACTGACCCCCGGGGACAAGCCTCTTGAGCACTTGTGTTCTCTTCTCCACTAGTGTCCCGGCAAGAACGCTGCTATTCGGTGCACGTATGTTGCTCTTCCTCTTGGACAGAAACCTAAGGCTCCTCCTCACGATATTCTTGCTCCTTGGGATCTTCCATGAGCTGTGGCAAATCTTGGCTGGTCTCTCAAACTCCTTTCCAAGGACGAACTGAAGGAAGGACCTGTTCTGCTCTTCCTTGGAGAGGCTAGCGATGAGGCCACGAGTCCATTTTTTGCTACCTCTGGCGACGGCCATGGCGACATCGGCCGAGAGCTTGATGGCGCTCTTCCTCTCCTGAAGACTCCCGCTTCCGTGTGAAACAGCAGAAAGTTGGATGCCAAGAAGCATTTGCTTCAGGAAAGCTTGCTCGAATGATTTGGTGGCTTGCATGGTTGCGGTTGGAGGGAAGAACAGCAAGGTGTTTCAAAGGCTTGCTTTACTCATATGGATCGAGATGACAAAGATAGAGGGTGGGAAGCAGAGGAGAAACCACACAAGAAGATATCTGAAAGCATTGGGTGTAGCACTAGGTGATTGTGGTATTCTCTCTCTCTCTCTCTCTCTCTCTCTCTCTCTCTCTCTCTCTTTCAGAGACACACACACACACACACACATTGAGATTAAACAAGGTCACTGGCAAGGAGAAAAAACCAAAGAGAAACGGCTACCATTTGAGACAAAGAGGGGTCGTATGCTGAGGTCTGCACTGATGAGAAAAACAAGTGGCGTCTTTTACGTGGTTTGCACATGGGGAAAAGTCATGTGAAAGATGGACATGTCTTCGAGTATACCGTGATGCCTGGCAGTCTTAAGGTTTTAGAATTAGGAAACAGCTGTAACAAAGTGTTCAGATGACAGAGAAGTAAAGCAGGAAGAAGAACATGAGCTCTACTACTTCCATGGCGAAGGCAGTATGGGATGAACGAGTCATGGGGAGGCATGAGCAGAACCCAACCAGTCGGGTGGTGGAAAAGTGAGATTGGGATAGGGGTCTACTTGGAAGCGACACACCACATGCATGCACATGGTGTGCCCAAGGCCCGCTGCCTCAAACATCTCCTCTATTGTACTCCAACATGCAAAACCATGGCACATATTTCCATCTGAATTGAAACAACAACCATGCACAAGCAAGAATATAGGATCTCCCTAGCAACACAACACATTCAAAGGACAAGCCCCTGCTACAGGTAAGAATGATTTTAACTTGTGAGAATTCAACAAGGATGAACATTGGCACTGTACAGTATACAAGTATACGATGGTATGCCACAGCATGAGGACATAAAAAGTCTCCATCACAAAATGCAGGTTAATGTTGAACAGGAATATCCATGCAAATTATATGTTCTTCAACAAAAACTAATAAATGGCTTTGTGACAGTATATTGACGTTTCAATATCATGTTTGAAGATTGCATGATGCATAACAGAAGATCCATTTTTGAAAGAAGATTTCCAATGAGAAAAAAAAAATGTTATTTAGGTTGATCGAATCACCTTAACACCATTTTCTGAGGTGATTTCGTCTTTCACTGACCTCAGACAGACAGACGGATACAACAGCTCTGCAAGAGATCATGTCATCCAGAAAAAAGTAGGTCAGCAAGACGAGGGAAATATGATGGTGGATGTGGGTGCTCAACCTTTTCTTTCTAACCCCAGTGGACTTTGGGTAAAGGAAATCAAGTCCCACATGGTATCCACATGGAAGCGTGTCATCTCTGTAGCTCCACATGACTCCCTGCTCTTCCCAACTTCATCTCCTGAAAGAAAGAAAGAAAGAAAGAAGCAATGATCATGGTCTCAAGTGTACATGCCTTTGAGCATTCGCATCATATTACATATCCTTTTGTTTCTTTACTTCTAGGAATGGCTCTCTTGATTATTGACATCAGGGACCATTGCTTTGGTAGAACAAAAGCATACTTGTTCAAAGTATTACTTTGTCTTGAGACAATGAAGAACTGAATCTGTCCTTTGTTGTGGACAAAGAGCATGGAAACAAGCCAACAACCATAGATTTTGGATTTCTTATTACCAAGGCTTGGTAATTCCTTGAAGGAATTTACAGCTGCTCCTATGTACAGGCAACAATTAAGCAGAGCTTACGACACAACTCATGAATTAATAGATCATTGATATGACTAGAATGAAACCTTGATTCCACTTTTTTTCTCTTGAAATAATTCTACAGATTTTTATTTCTGATTTGATGGTTTTTTTTCATGACCCAGGCAGGAAAGCTGATCAACTGTTAACTTCCCAGGAATCTAATGCATCTGCAGAGCTTCCACACTTCCCGAAGTTGGAAGGACAAATGAGAATCACCTTCAATGGCCCTTTACAGCATGTGGGTCCTTGCACCTTGCCCTATACCATTACAAGGATTATTTTATCTATGCTACCCTTAACTAAGGACCACATGATAAGGTACATATTACTAGTACTGAAATGTGTGCTTAGGGGGTGCCTTAAACCACATTGTTCTCTCACATGGATGGGCTCCCCCTGTCCCATCGAAGGCCCCAGGTTTGAATCATTGGAGGCCTTATGTCCTATAGTAGGGCACTTTTTGGCAGATTTGCCAAGCTAATTAGGATCAAGGACTGTTTGGGAGATAGTTAATTTGGAATCCTGTTAATGCTTCCATCTTGCTTTGTGTAATGACATTAAAGCCATAGTTTTTGCCAATCTATTTGATCACTCCCTTAAATGCTTCCATGCTCAAACACCCCATGCACTACAAAGAACAGAACCCTGACTTGTAGTGTTGTTTGTAGGGAATTAGTACATGCCAATGGTAAGAAAGTTGATCTCCAGAACTCTTACCATGAGTGAAGAGTAGAGCAAACTAATCTTTCTTAACAGCTTGTTATCACTCAGCCCAAAAGTCTTTGTATTTCTTTCCAAAAGAATCCTGCATTTACCAAATTTCATCAGAAACTAGTTCAGATGCATCAGATCTAACAGAACGGAGTTGATGTTTTATGATAATTTCACAAACAAGACATGTTTCTCAATGAAATGTCAATAATTTAATAATTTCTCTTTCCCTATATCTCTAATTTTCATCAATAGAATGTCCATGTTTCCAAGGTCTTGTCTAAGCATATGATCATGCTAAAGTGATGATACTTATGTAATCTAGTAATTATAGCTATTTATTATGACATAGGTTCATGACTAAGATACAAAAGCAGAAAATGAGACATGCTTTTGTCTCTTCAAATGATTTAGTTTATTGCAAGATTAGAACCCTGGAAAGCTACTCTAGCATGTAATTAGGGAGGAGATGTGTGGATATCAAATACACTGCTAAATAATAGCATATGCCAAATAAAACATGAGCATTATGAGTGCAAGTGATAAAGGAATCCTAGCAAACACTGAGCTCCCTACTCTTTTCATCTTCATGCTACCATTTTCCACTGTATGGTGAAGTGGCCTTTGAAACATCAGGATGTGCCCCTGTCCATATAGACCTGCAGATGAGATCAGGTCGAGTTCTTTTCTCAAGACAAGATGTAGAATTCTCAGGCGCATGTGAATTGACAACAGGACATCACTCACTTGACAGTGCTGCAAGAGAGACAGTGTCATGAAGGCATTACTTTGTCATGTCCCAAAATACCTCTACTCTGTTCACAGAGCTACAAACCGACCTTCTCATCCAGTATAATCCTCGAAATGCAGAGAACCAGAATGTGGACAAAGTGATCTTAGTTACACCTCACCCTCCTACTGCTTAGTTTGACACAATCAAGTTCATCTCTCGAGTCAAGACTTGATAAATTTGTCACTAACATGATCTTGCGGCATGCTTGACCTCTATCTAATGTGGTAAGATAGGAAACCAATACAGCTAAAGCATTGCTTGGTGTCGCCCAACCCCAAGTACTCATGACGAATGAAGAAATCAAGCAGTAGCTAATGGGTATTGAAAGCACCGACCATGTTCAATCCAAATCTTTTCAGAGAAAACAGAAGCAATGTGATTTGATCAAGTCAGCTCTTTGCTGCACAAATATGCTGTTTTTTTTTTTCCGCTAAAGAATGCGGGTTTTGCTACAAAATCTCATCGCTTTAGAACCCAGAGGAGTCATTACTGCGCCAGAAACCAAGAACTGAGAATTAGAAGCCACAAATTAGAGATCTGAAAAACAGGAATCGAATAACTCGATTACCACGAAAACAGATGACCAAAAGTCGCAACCATCCAACACAATCCACAAACAAAGATCCGAGAAGTTAGTTCTGAGCCAAAAGTATATGGAGAACCGCCAGGGGTTCGAAAAAGATCCCCTTTCTATCCTCTGTTTTCCACCAGGAGACGTGAACCCAGATCGGGATTCGCATTATTCGAACTATTCATCACAATCACTAATACCACCTTCCCAAAGTTGCCGATTGATCTCTAGCCACATCAGGATTAGCTGCAAAGAGGAACATCTTGGACAAGAAGCCAAAGAGAACTGAGGAATAGCAGGAGAAGAAAAGAGAAAACAGTGCTTTCGTTGGGTTTTGCGGGATGAAATCAGACGAAGGGGCAGAATGGCTTCACTGTTTGCAGGAAAAAGACTCTTTTTTCCGCCTATTTTTCCCAGTGTCTTCCTGCGGAGAGGTTTAACCGACAACGCAAGCATGACTCCGTGATTCGAACACCGATCTCACCTTTGTCCGTCACCCTCCCAAACATAATCAGGATATTAAAATTATTTTTTTATTTATTATTTTTTTTCGGTTAGTAAAATCAATAATATTATGATAAATAAAACTAGATATTTTATTTTGATAAATATAAAATTTTTAATATTAATTTTTTAAATCTAAAAACTAGAATGCTAAATATGTCTAACTATATAGGATAATCTATAATTTGTTCAACGTCGTATGACAATGAGGTATTTGTCTCTCGTATCTAATCCTAGTCGATTTGTGACCCTTCAATTACCTCGAGTGATTGTTTTAGTGTCAACAAGTCGATGTGGACCACCACGTGGGTGACACTTGTAGGCATGGCTGAATGAGCTGGATATTATCACAACCACAATTAAATCCAGAAAAGATTAACCACCTTCTTATGTCTACTACAGAAGTAATGATATTCAAATTTTTTTCACTCAAAAAAATATAAGCCAAACCCTCCAAACTGACTTGATGATTATATTGATAATGATAGTGATCTTAATATTGGTAATGATAAATAATTCTTTTATTATCATTATTGTTGCATTAAAAACTTCATTTAATGATAAATAATTCATTTTTCTTATTTACACCCCAAAAAAAAAAACCAGCAGTTAAATCTTACTCAAAAGAAGTCTTTGATTTGATTTAGGTCTAATATTTTCTTCAATTTTCTCGGAGAATCAATCCATTGGTGGTCCTCGTGTTGTTTGAAGTGCACGAAGGAGCAGAACTCAGCCTGAGAAATGCACCAGCAACAAACAACGCATCTGCAAACGCACAAATTGAATACGAACACACACTAAGATGGGCAAACGTCTGACCTGCGTGCTCAAACAGGTAGGTCTACACGTGACTGCATACGGAAGATGACCGTGCATACAAGCCATGACCAGGAGGGCCCAATACCCCCGCATCAAACGAAGATGATCATAAGTTGGTGAGAGAACTCCATCTGACACAATCCTTCAAGCTTAGGCAGAAGTTCTTCCCATCAGTTTGATCTGAAGGCTCGACCCGATGTCTTTTCTCAATTCAATCAAATTCAAAATCTTCGAAACAATTTCCTCATTCAATAAACATAGATGACAGGCCTCACAAGCCATAACCATCAGATATTTATATATGATCAGTGTCAAGGGATTCCATCATTTACCCTAGTAAATATAAAGGCTCCGAGCTTTCCGACGATGAATTCTGGAATCTGAGGACATGAAATACACATCTGGGAGTGGATTCTACTGTCAAGGCAATGGCTTTCCTGTCATGAGAGTATCTACGGTTTAAGCACCACGATGATCCATTTCCACTGTAACGTCCATGAGAACAAGCAATACATGTGTAACATTAATTGTTGCACGTCTCACACTTCCCTTTATAAGCTTCCGATGGTCAAGTTCCATGACCGTAACATTTCTGATGACTCCTGGTATGCAACGAGGAATGGCATCTACCCCGCTTCCCAACTCATAATTTATGAGGATATTTCATGGCCTCATTTACCTTTTAGTGCAGAGCAGGACTGCAAAAGTATTACTGACTCAAATCTCTGCAACAAAGCATGTTCCTTCTCCCACTGACGACTGGAATTGGCACTACTCCTATCCTCCAAAATAAAGATATCAGATGTTGAAATAAACAAATAGCGGTGGGAGAACGAAGAGCTTTGCTGCGAATTTGCCCGCTTAAGTTGTCGATATCACGTACTCATCATCTAATACTAAAAGGACTGAACAAGTAACTACCTGCCACCTGTCTTCTATTCCACAAGAGATCTCAAGCTTGAAGCACCTGACAGTGAACTATATGACCCTTTAACCCACTGCGACCAGCTATAGATGACCATAAGTTTGCTACGAAGCTCTTAAGTTGGTTTTTCCCAGAAATGGCCTCCCACACATGAGAACTGTTGGTCTCTATGCTATTTACTGGATTTGTTACATCAACAAGGCTGATGCTCATGTTGTTTCGGATGATACCAAGCTTCCCATTCAGAGGAACAAATGATGCAGCCTCAAAGGCCTTAGAATTTCCTAGATGATGTTTACTGTCCATAAACTTGTTCCATGAATCTGTAGCTCTTTCATAAACTCTAAGCTTACAGCCATCCCGGCAATCTGATGCATATAGCCTTCCATTCATTGAAATACTGGGATTACGCCAGCCTGTAACTATTCCACCACCAACTGTGGACCATGTGTTGGTAGTAGGTGCATAGACTTCACTCACAACCTGATGGCGTGAATCAATCCCCTTTAGAAACCATTTACCCTCATAAACAACCCCGATGAAGGGCACCATCCCAATGCTCATTTCAGCAATAGATATCCATCTATTCCTGTTAGGATCATAAAGTTCAGCTGACCGAAGCGTTCTTTGGTTCCCTTCACATTCCCCACCGGCAACATAGAGGCAGTTATTTATAACACATGAACCAAATAAATGGCGTTTCCGAAGCATATCTGGAGCTCTGTGCCACTTGTTTGTCCTGGCATTGTAGAAGACAACACGCCTCATTGGACCCTTTGATGGATCTTTACCTCCAAATAAGTAGAGGTAGCAACCGCTGAGAACAGCACAACCAAAGCCAAAAGCTTCAGAATAATCTGCAGGAACAGGTGGAAGTGGTCTCCAGAGCCGATGGTTAGGATCAAAAGCATGCCAGGATATCTTTCCACGGTCTCTCTTGATTACATACACCCATTCCTCTGCCATCCCAAGCTTTTTCCTCAGGGAGTAATAGTAATTTCCAGACAAAAGTCTGTTCCATCTTTTGCAAACTAATCGAAGGTTTTGGTGCTCAATTCGAGGAACTCGAATCAAACAAGCTATAGCAAGATCATCAGGAAGGCCAGGCAGTAGAGGTGCCTGGTTTCTGCTTCTCTCCCTGCGTGAATTCCTCAATCGTGGTCCATTGGGTATAATTTCAGGTTGGAGACATAGCTTAGCTCCAGGAACAAACTTTCTAGCCCCTACTACTGTTTTCAAGCCAGCATCTACTCTACAATAGCATGACACAGAATCAACCTGCAGATTTGCATGCCATTCTTATTATTAATCGACTATATCTTGGTTGTGCATAAACACTAAAAAAACTAAGATCCCAAGCAAAAGTTGCACTGAAAAAAATAAATAAACATGTAAGATCTAATAAAGAATACAGCAATAACTTCATTCTTAAAGGCGGCCAAAGGTGCTAAATTTAAATGAGTAAGCCAGTGATTGCGTGGTAAATGACTCCATACACTTTACATGGATAACAATAATATCAGTCAACTTCTTAGTGAGTAAATGGGACATGCTAGCACTTGCTAGATTTTAGAGCACATGTTGTAAGGATGATATAACGTTTGAGATATTAATCAAGAAATGAAACTCAAACTTTGTGACTTATTGCATTTGTAGACAGCTATTATTTTACTTTGAGGATCAGAATGGTATTAAACAAATTTTGCTATGGAGCATGATGCATGTTTTAAAGCTGATTAGGTCACATCTTTGATGAGAAAGCATTAGGTCTAGAGGAAGGTACAGAAAAAGGAGAGGCAAAAGGAAAACTGGGAGAAAGGGTTAAAGAACTCCAAGGAGAGAGAGGCACCAGGTAGATATGAAAGCCTTCATAATATGTGCCCACTTATTGATGCTGCTTCCACTTGTGTTCCAATGCACTAAATACACACCAACAGTTTAGAAGAAGGTTAAAAACAGCTTCAGCTAGGTTCAGCACTATCATCATTCCATCTGATATGACCAGCCTAATAAACAAGTTCTGCTGCCAATTTATATCATCATTCATTTATGAGAACCAAAGTTTAATTAGATAACTAATGGAAAAGGGCTATTTGACCTCATAAATTGACAATAAATGGAGTCTTGGAGGATACAAAATGAAATGAAATAAATTAGTGACATTCTTCTCATGACCATCTTATATATATGCCCTCAGCAAATGATCATTCCAACAGACATGTTTCTGATCCAAATAGAATAAGTTTTAACATAGTTTCAAATGTGTCTCTGCATCTTGTCCTTTCCAGATCAAAGTCTTCTAGTAAGTACAAACCTGAGTCCCACATCCATAACAATGAAACACCAAAAAAATCAATGTACAAGCTAAACTACTACAGATAAGTCCAAGATAAAGCATACAACAGCAGTTTTCAGCTTTCATTTTTTTGGAAATTTAACTACAAAACAGTGTTCTGGATTACAAGAGAATAATAAAATGAAATTTCAAGGAAGCAATAGAATTTAAAATATAGAGTAATTATAGTTCATTAACTGTCTCATGAGAATGAGTTCTTATTACTTGTCAGTTGCTTGTAACAACTCCTAAAAGAACGAAAAAAAAATGCTACTTCTGTGGCTTTTCTATTTTTGCTTATTTTATTTAATTTTCAAGAAAATATGTGCTTTAGAGAAAACAATTTACTTTCATCATATTACCTGCTATCCATTATGGCTTGTTGTTAATGTATACAACCTAGTATTCTTAAAAGTTTTCACATTTCAGCAACCAACAGGGATGTTCTACAGATGAAAAAAAGCTGATTTAGGAGGAAAAGTCTAGCTGAAACGTCAGAATTATATTTGAAGACAGGACATTTAAAAAACAAAATCTTTGTAAGAAACCACAAATCAGAACCAAGGATTTAGGTTTCACTCATGTTTTTTTTAATACTTGCCATCACATATGATGCCTTAGCAAAAGCAGGTGTAATGCTTTGCCACACTACAAAATCAGGGTATGCATCAATGCGGGCAACATGAATCATGCAATAAAGTAAAGAGGTAACAACCATGTCATACTATATGAACACAGCATATACACCTTAATCCTCACTCATAATCATTAACCAAAGGTCCAACTTTCTTCATTTCAGCAATTTACAAATGAACTTCAACTAAAGGCAAGCTAATTCCCCTTTAGCATCAAAAACAAGTATCTCAAATCTTATTTATTGAGAACTAACTTGGGTACCTCCCCAATTCTTCGTACTATCAGGCCACAAAATGAAGCTGGCACCTCTCTTCCTCAGGCATCTCTAGTTTTCTACCACTATATTGGGATCAAATAACCCATAAGAATCATCTGCATTGTGCCAACTTTTCAAGTCCATTCAACCATATAGATGCATAGATTGTCAGAAAAAGCTACGGATTAAGCTTGTGCTCCACTCTGTTGTTACACATATCAGTTTAAACCAAAAGTATCCATAATGTGCCATGCAAGTAAATCGCAATGTGTTATGCATGCAAATACAAACCACTGTAATTCCAGCACCAATGCTCAACAATTATGGGAGCAATATGCCATTGTAATACTTGTCAAAAAGTATAGAAAACCTATTCATTTGCTATTTGAGGTAAAAAAAAGACTATGGTCCCAATTAAGGTTTAAAATCTTGGTCTGGTACAATTTTCAACACCTTGTTGGACCATTACAGTACCAATACAGAAATATTTAACGGCCCAATTTTCAACACCGCCCAATGTAACTGAAAACAATAAAATATAATATCAATCAAATTAAGCTATATGATCTAGTATCAATCCTTGGTTGAATTAGTAAATTCATATACAATCCGATTCTTTAAAAACATTATAAAGATATCCCCTATTGTTGTCATCCTTCAACTGACACATACACAGAATGTATACCATACTAAAACATTCCGTTAAAAGAGAGAAATATGCAGAGAAAGACAAGGCAAAAAATACGATGAATTTGTAGACAGCCTCCAATTGTCAATCTCCTTGTCCATGCATTACTAACAGGTAAGAAATCAATGAGACAAGAATATTTTAATCTTACAAGGTGTTTGTAGGCTTAGATCGTCCCTACAGGTTATCTCCAGTCAAATACATATTCACAACTATCTCCTTTAAAGAACAAGAATTCACAACTATTATTTGTTTATGATCTATTAGCAGTATTGACAAATTGAAGTAACGATCTCCATTGAAATCCATATTCCATAAGTTTACATGTCTACAAGATCCTACTGGAGCATTAATAGAAAATAACCTACCAACCACCATCAGAATACCTACAGACTAATACTATTAATTAACTTAAATACTGAAATGTAGCACCTGTAGTATCTACTGGTTTGACAATATATGTCATAATCCCTAGGTTCGACTCAACCATTCATGTCATTGTTGCCGGTTTAACAGAAGCAAACCCCACCTAAACTGAAAGAGAAAAAGTTACACACACACAACTTAAATTTTGTTTATCGTTAATATGATTTTTAAGTCTAACCTAACTTCACAATCTGGATCCATGTTCCTGGCCTAAAATCTGGTTTGCAATTAGTAGCCATTGATTATAGAACCATTTTATTTCTTCAAAGTTATGCAATCACAAGGTCCAACACATACCTATGCACTTTCACACAAGCAATGATCTCTCAACATCCAGCTTTATCAAAAGAAAATTACAAACTATGGTCCTTCTACTTAAGAAACATCTACATAATCAGGATACTGAAAACACTTCATCCTGAGGTTCCTCCCTGCTTGCAGCCTCACACAAGATGAGAACAAGAATGCTTTCGATACACATTCATCCAAGAAAGAGTATAAAGAGAAGCGTCTGATGATTCATTCAAAGGGATAATGCATGTGAACATCAAGATAACAACTTTTTTCTTGCTTATTTTCAGTAACAAATCGCTATTTAGTTCAAATAGCAATGTTCTACTCGCCAAGAACTTCTTCAAGCCACATTTTCCAAATAACATTTGTTTAGGGCAAGAAGCTACATGATCTACTACCATATAGACAATAGGGACAGCCAATTATTTGGAGTCTTAAATTCCTAGATAGGCAAAGCAGAGGAGAAAGAATGATAACAACTATTCAAACAGCAACCAAGAATTACCTGGATAAAACAGGAGGAAAGAACATAAATATAGTTATTCAATGTCTTACATACTCGATTTTTCAAAAGAAGATGGCCTAGTGAATCATATATATATATATATATATATATATATATATATATATATATAATGATCATGAGAGCCTTCTAAACTGCATATTGCACACTAAAATCAGTAATGGCTAAGAATCAGGCAAATTAAGTTCACCGCAATACTACTCTATGCCTTTTTAGGTCGATTCAGAAAAAAAAAACTCACAAGTTCCTCCAAGAGCATAAGTTAGCTAACAACAGAAGCTTATATCAAAACCTAGCAAGTTAGTGAGACAAAACATCAAACTCAGCTGAGACAAAACATTTTATCTGTGGAAATCCGCAACAACATGAGTGATTCAGCTCAGCACAATAGAGCAAACACAAAAGAAAAGGAAAAGGAAGTTAAGCATTAAAGAAACAAAAAGGCAACTATCATCAATATGTTATCGAAGATCGGCCGTTCGATCTTCCAAGAGGACAGAGTTGACGGCCACGACTATCCAAAAACGATGGCATTCTTAAACCCTCGCTTACGAATCTCACCCATATTTTCCCAAATTAACGTTTCCGGAGCACCCCATCCATTATACACCAACAGCAACCACAGATCGAGGGAGAATGAGAGGAGGAGAACAAGAATAAGATGAGCAGAGTTACCAGTGGGGCTTGCACGCGGACGACTCGGTGCGAACCAGCCAATCTTTCCGGCGCGGCCCTATCCATGCTCCCACGAGGACCGCCACCAACGACGCCGATCGATCGATCGATCGATCCAGATGCCAGAGTGACGAACAAATAGGGAGATATGGCGGGGATGGGTCAAGAGATCGCACCGCTCTCACGCCGAAGGGGAGATGGGGACACCCCTCTTTCGCTCTCGTTCTCTAAACAAGAAGCACGGACACGTTCTCCGGCCCACTTCTTTTATTCTTTTTTTTTCTTTTTCTTTTTTTCTTTTTCTTTTCTTTCGTCTATAGATGAAATGGGAAGGAAAGCAGGGGGAAGAAGTCTCGGTCTTCTCGCTCCTCACACCGTACTCATTTATCTCATTAATTTAGCAATATACTTTATTTATTTATTTTTTAATTTCAGTTTTATTCGTAATTACAATCCTCAACTTAGGTCTTAAATCTTAAACGTTAAATTGATTAGATCCAAACAAAAAATAAATAAAAATAAAAAATCAGAAATTTAATTTATTTATTTATTGAATCAAATTTGTTTAAAAAAATAGAATAAATCGGCTAATCTGAATAATTCATATGAATTAATTGGGTCAAATATAATTTTGTAACATAATAAATATTATTGTATATTTTTCATGGGTCTCATTATGAACTTGAGAAAGAAATTATTTTTATTTTTTTTACTAAAGTTAAATAAGATTTGATTTTTTAAATATTGGTGTGATCTTTTTAAAATCTTTACCAACTAAGGTGGTGGTTGGTACTTTCAATTAGTTGGTACTTTCAATAATGTGTTGTTGGATGAAGCTTCCAACCTTTAATCTTCAAAATAAAAATAAAAATTCTATCATAATATTTTTTTTTTTTTAATAAAATCTATCCCATGCACTTTCTTATTTCCTTCTCTCCTATCCCCCAGTGCCCATTACACTCTTTTAACTTTCATGCTTCTTCTTATCTCCTTATGACTTCTCTTAATTTCTATCCATTTATAGTATTTTGTATATGATTTATTTTTTTTTTATTAATTTTTTTAGATGATTTTTTTTTAAAGTCCCATATTTTTATTTCTTAAAAAATACTCTTATTTTTTATTTTTTTTCTATATAATACTTCCCGAGGAAAAAAGATAACATGAAAAGAAGGAAAGAGAAGAATAAATAAGAAGCAACCAAATAGATATAGATGACAAGAAGGACTATCAATGAGAGAGAATAGGGGAAAAAAAAAAGAGAGGGAGGTGACTAAAAGGAAGGACAAATGATGTTGAACATAACAGATAAGAAAGGAAAGATAAGATAATTTACAAGATTATAAAAAAAATAGATATATTATCTGAAAAATAAAATAAAGAAGAAGCTTTTCTCATATTTTAATAAAACAATTTATATTATATATAATATAATACTATATATAATTTTGAGGTATTTTATATATTTTAAAATTTTCTTTTAACTAAAACATATCTGTTTGACCACACCATCGATCCAATGACTTAAAGGTTCTTGAATTCGATTGAATTTTCTTCTACACAGTCCATTTTATGTATTTTAAGGAACATGCACGCAAATATTTTGAAGTCTCATGGATTTTAGTTTCGAGTGTTTTCTTGACGTGGTATTATCATGATCTTCTGACTCGATATTAGTCTTTAAAGAAGTCATACTTAATTCTAAGTCACGTTTTGTACATATATAGAGTTTGAAAACAAAAGCAATTCCTTGTTTGCATCACATCATCAGAGAATGAATGATAATGCTTTTCAAAGACAACCATGATAGCTCCATTTCGATCGTATCATTCTATGCTCGGTGGTGCTATTAAATCCTAATGCTTGCAGCATGTTATTTATTAGCTCATCATTGAAGAAGCTTCACATCTGTTTTATTAATGGCTTCGCCTTTCGCGGCGGATGCCTAACTTCTCCTTCCGAGATATAAATGCTGTGAACGCATCAGAAGCCACTCGACCCGGTCAATTTAGTTACCCCAAAGCCCGCTGCTTCATCGCCACCTCCGTCAGCCACCCTATAAGAAGTCCACCCCTTGCCACCTCCTTCCTCGCACCAAAAGCATACGTCCATCAGCAGTCTTCGCCCGTCGGCCCTACGCAACAAAACATCCAACCTCGAGTTCCACTTTGCCGTAGGGACAATGGCGGAGACCAAGATGGCCGTGGTTGCCCTTCTCCTCGTCGCCATGGTCGTGGCGTCGACGGCGCCCGCAGCGGACGCCTTGTGCTTCCCCGACTGCTACAATCGCTGCGCCAACGGCCAGGAGAGAAACGCGGCCTGCGCCAACATGTGCGTCCAGGCCTGCGTTGTGCCCACCACCCTCCCCGACGGCACCGACCTCTCCAAGTTGGTGCCCGGGGGGAAATGATGGCCGTCGCTCGACGAGGAGCATTCTCACCAATAAAAGTTGCCATTGTTCTCGTTTGTTTCCGTGTCATGTGTTCCGACGGTGGCAATCCTTATTGATGATTAATATCAATATCATGGTTTTATCATACTTCCTGTGTTCGTGATGATTGTGTTCTCTCTTTCCACATAATATTATTTTGAGTATGAGATCACATTTTAAGAAATAGGAACATTTTATAAAAACATATATATATATATATATATTTCTATTGTAGTTTATCGATAATTTTTATAAAATTGATTTCTATTGTTACGTGGACAACATCCCTCTCATAATTAAAATAGGAAATCCGACGGCTCCACGGGGTCCCACGCAATCTCCACCGGATCCCTGCTCCAATCATCTCGTGCAAAGAGCTATCTTCTCCACGATGGGACCCGCGCGGGCCCCGCACCTTGGACCGGCACCGCTTCGAAGTTCGACCAATGTCCGGTCGGCTCTTTTCGGACCCGTCCAAAAACAACCGTCTTATTACATGTACAAGTGAAGGAGCGGAACTCGAACCGGTCACGATTCGAGAATGCGTCTCCAATTCCGGTCCGGTTCTCAAGCGTCGTCCCTTAGACGCGTCATGTTCCTCGCGTAAGCCACCCGGTCTCTTCCTCCAATTCCAGCCGCAGGCCTGGGGATTTTTCCGCCTCTTCCTCCTCCAACGACATACTGTCTTTGAGCTTCAAATCTTATCTCCGTCACCGAAAACTCAAGAAGCTCAATAGGGAATCGGTGGCCTAATGGTTTCCGCTTCGCTCTTAGAAACCATCTCCGTCTTTAGAGAGCCGCCCAAGTGCAGGCCTCAGCGCCTCCTCCGATGGAATCCTATCCTTCAACCTCCTCTACCGCAATTCCCTCTCATTAGATCTCGGAAGCCCATCAGGTTCGCCCTCGGATGCTCTCCCAGGCCGCCATCCGCCGCCGCCGGCGACGAGCAGAAGAGACGCCCCCTGGACGCGGCGCTGCGAGCCGTTCTCGAGACCTTGGATAGACTCAAGAAGCCCGCGGCCGCTATCATCTTGATCGGGTTCCTCCTCACCGCCGATTCCCACGGCGCCCTCGCGGCGTCCGGGGGGCGCATGGGCGGGAAGGCCTTCTCCTCATCGCCCTCCCGGTCGCACTCTTCCTCTTCCTGGAGTTACTCGGCTCCTCCCAGCTCGAGATTCTCCTACTCTGCGCCCTACTACGCGCCCTCGCCGTTCGGAGGGGGGTTCTACGCGGGACCGGCATTTGGGGTGGGTTTCGGGGCGGGGTCGGGGTTCTTCCTTCTCATGATGGGGTTTGCAGCGGTCATTTTGCTCTCGGGGTTCCTCTCGGACCGGGCGGACGATGGGAGCGTCCTCACGGCCACGCAGAAGACCAGTGTCATCAAGCTGCAGGTACGGGCAAATCCTTTCCTTTGGTATTTCTACGTAAATAAGCTCATCTTCATCTCTATTACAACTTTCCCCTTAGATATATAGCTCTCTCATAGGCTTAGAATAATTAGTGTTATGGTAGTTTGCGGCAATCATGAGTTGGATTTCTTTACTTTTGCTTCTGACGGCTTTAAGCAAGAACGCATCAGCAATTGTGCTTCTGGTGGTCTACACATTTGTTTTCCTTCCTTCCTCTTATGTTCTTATTGGAATTTTATTGTTGGGCTCGATCTTTCTTGAACTGATTAATTGGCCTATTCACAGAACATATACATACTCAAATGTTGAAAATGATCGTTGTGTTCATACTTCTTGCTCAATCTGGGTGTGGAATATCAATCAGACAGGTATTGATATCCTACTTTTGTTCAATCGATTTTCAAATTTAGTGGGGGAGAGTGAGTAAAGAGGGTGTTTTGATGTATGGGCCATTTCTTCTCCTAAATAATAGCAACAATTTTGCTTAAGTATAAATCACATTGTAATTATTGATAGTAATAAGTAGAGAATGATCATGATGATGTAAGAAGTATGGAGAGTTGCAAGAGGAAGCAGGTTTAAGGGGTAAATCAAGGCTAGGCTAAGAAAATTTGAAATGATTGAGGATGTTATGAGTGTATAATGATTGCATACCTGCACTAATGTGCATTGCCCATTCTTGATACTAGTTCTCTCATCTGTATCGTCTCAGTTGAGATATTTCACGTCAGTATATTTCTCATTCATATTGCATGATAATCCTTTGGTTGCAAAAATTGAATACCATCTGTATGTGAAGTGCTAGGCACATTGGTTTTGTTCTACAATTTTTTCTTTGATTAGGCAATCCTTTTGTCTTTGGTTTTTATTTTCGTGACTAGTGTGTACTAGGAAGGTGAAGGTTTTTGCTTGAAAACATGAGTTATTTCTTTTTTTAATTTTTCATTCCGTTGAAAGTTTTCAGCCTCATGATCATTGTTCTGTAATCGTTTTATCGTTTGAAGTTAGTGGTTCTCTAGACATGTAAGTTTTAAGAATCTCATATTTCCAATTACTCGTTTCTGTTTCTTTCTGGCATTATTTGTATACTAGTGATAATATTGAGCCCCAAAAAATGTATTGGATTCGAGCATATGGATGCTACAGACCGATTATCAGTTATTTTTGCTAGGAAGATTTAGCTACTAGTACATGCTGGCTTTTAACTTTTTAATTTGTTTACCTCAAAGGGAGAGTTATGGAATATCTCCACAAATTGGTGACGTAATATGTTGCTTAAATACACAATAAAAGTAATTATCTGACACTTTTCCTTTTCTTTAACTGTTGAATTGCAAATTTTGATGGCGCTGAGTATTTTTGCTATTTGCCACTGGATGGAAATGTAAATCTTATTATGATTTTTGACATGATACACGAAAAAGACTATACTGTCGTTGTGGTT